TGAATGGAAGTCTAAGAATATAGTCTATGTATACGAAAAAGGAACAAGGATGAAATATTTACAAGAAAAAAGGGGAAAACTGCTGCTCCATTGCAGTCTTCATTGTGGCCAAGCCAGAGAATGGCCCCCCAGCAATTTGCGGACAGTTTGAGAGACTTTGGCTAGCACGCTTTTTTCTGGACTTTATATTCCCAGTCAGCCATGATTGCCTGTTTTATTCCGAATGTGACCTCCTCTCTTGGCAATCGCAGGAGTCAGGTGTTCGCCTCTCCTCGCAACAGAGTTCCTCATCCAGGCCCCAAGAGTCGACGGTATTGCTGCTCTGCTAATCATCTCTCTTCTGCGTACTGATATCTGTCTACACTATGTAACTGTCTAGATGCAGTCCCCATGAGAACATACCGATCTGTCCATCGTGTAGCAGCATCAGGTACAGGCGGTTGGCCTTGCCGCCACCACTCCCAGAGAGGAGAAGTCCGTCGAGCGCACCAGGCTGCCACCGGCAGAGCTCGATGCATCGTCAGCCTTAGTAGGCTACCTTCTTCCCCCGAATACAACGTACGGTCATTATATGTCGCATACCGTAACGGTACAGACCAGAACAAGACCCGACCTCTCTCACATAGTACAGGATAGCGCAGCGGAAGGCTAAAATACCAATGATCAGACCAATCAATGTCGCAATGCAGASCAAACATACATCATCATCATCGCAAGGTGTGAAAGGGCCTGGCGCTTTACACAGGAAGAATGGGCCAGGCTCCGACCATACACAGATGAAGAGGAGGGGGATCAGACAAAGAAGAGGGGGAGATGGAAATGTCGTCACACAAATAAAAGCCCGCAGGGCCTGCAGGCAAAAGTAAGGGCCCTCCAGGCCTGTGGCATACTACTCACCACCGGAGTTCCTATCCCACGCTACATCCACGCTTCTCCAAAAAAAGCCCGGATGTCACAGAAGTGGATCGGAAGCCCGGATGTGACAAAAGCCCGGATCTCCAAACGGAAATTTTTATTTTTGTCCGGTCCAAAGCATGCGAACAGCGGACGATCTTGCAGAGAGACATGAGACATACTGGCATACTTCATTGACAAATAAATTTTAAATTTCCGTTTTTGGGAAAAAGGAGGAGGAAAAATGCTGTGTTACCAACCGGTCCGCCCGGGGCACCTGGGTTGCCTGGGCGGCCCGGCCGGGCAAGGGCCAGGGAAGGTCACTGTGAAAAAAGTTCAAAAAACGAATTCAAAAAAATCCAAAAAGAAAAACTTTTGTGCAGAAAAATAAACTGAACAGAGTTTGCCTCAGGGTCCGATTGAAATTCTTTGCGAAATTAGAAATAATTTCAAATAAAAGATAAAAAATCGATTTCTTTTTTTATTTTTTTAATTCATTTTTGGCTCGGGCAGGCAAGTGGTCTCCCACCACTCTGGTCAGTGGTAACATAGAAGAAAATGTCAATATTGCAGAACTTTGCAGTGTCATTCACTTTTTTTTTTTTTTTTTTTTTTTTTTTTTTTTTTTTTTTTTTTTTTTT